TTCATGAAAAAATTTCATAAGATTAAACAATGAAATCGACAGATGAAGGTGGTTTGCACGGTTTACACAAATGAGGGCGGTTTTCATATGATCACTCCTATATATATATATATATATATATATATATATATATATATATATATGGAAATTTAATACTCTTTGAGTTGTGTTAGTTTTGAAATGCACTTGTAAAAAATGCAATAGAATCCAATCGTTCACTTTGTGTCTTTTACAAGAAATCCAATCAAAATTTACTGAAATTACTAAAAGGTAAGGAGAGGATCAAAGCGGATTCTCTCTTTCTATATATAAACTAGTTGTGTACCCGTGCAATACGACGAGGTATAAATCTTATATAAATGTAAGCGAGAATATCGATTGACGATTATAACAAATAAACACATGATTGTCATAGAAAGATCAAGCCAAATGGAAAACGTTTGTTTTGAATATGAATATGTTATTTCAAATGAATATTATGTGAACTGGAATTGCTGGATTACGATATTTTTCAATGTCGTAACATTTGTTGTTCCTAGAATTTAAATACTAATGTAGGCATGGTGGGTTTTTTTTTTCCTACACTTGTAATTTACAAAATGACATTCGGAATTATGTTTGAATAAACTGGAAAATAAAATCATTTGTAATAAATTCATTAAGATATTGTTCAAAACGTTCATATGGAGTGAGTGAGAGAGCGATGAAGAAGGTAGTCTACGATTTGATAGGAATTGTGGAGATTAGAAGTGAGTCCACCACTGAAACTCAATCGCAAGAGCTAGAAGAGGAAACTTTGGGAACTGAATCATCATTCTTTGGAGAGGAAATTATCAATCTGGGAACATAAGACCTTTGAATTTTGAAAAAGTCTAGGTTTTGGTCAATGGATTTCCTAAAAGGAAACTGAAAACTCTGAAGGAGATAAAGAATATTGTGAACATACCAAACTTGGTTTTTTAGGATTGTTTTAAAACCATGCATTAACACCTTGTACATCATGCTTTACATATTGTAATTAAGAGATTTCTTGAATTCATGCATAAAATGCTAGTACTTTGTGTCTTATTAGTTGTACTTAAGACTCTTATGTAAATGCTTATTAATGTAGTATAGATAAAGGTGCATCGGCTTTATTTTCTGATTGACCTTGTATTTCTCGAAACTAAATCAAAATAGAACTTCGGATTTTATTAACGGTTTTCTTAATAAAAGTCTACGGTTTTATTTGGTTAAATGATGTTATATTTCTGGGTCCACTTCTTTGGATTTTTTGGGAGGATGATGATGGAGTTGTTGGGAAAGTTGTATGGTACACATAATTAATGCAAAAAAGTATAAATTCAAAATAGGTGTAACAACCCAAAATTACATTTGCATATAATCATATACACTACTAGCTAGAAAACAAGATATCAGCAACGAAAATCAGTGAGGGATTGGCAAAAAAAAACTCATCTCTTCGTTGATCCCTTGGTGATCAATGAGGGAATGAGTTTTTTGCCAATCCCTCGTTGATCTGCGAGGGATCTGGTCAAAAACAGATTCTCTCGCTGATCATTCGCAGATCAATGAGGGAATGAGTTTTTGGGCAGATCTCTCGCTGATCCATCGCAGATCAGCGAGGGATTGAGTTTTTTGGCCATTCTTTCGTTGATCCCTTGTTGATGAGCGAGAGATCTGGTTGAAATCAGATTCCCTCGATGATCCCTTGCTGATATATTTTTATTTAATAACTACAAATTTAATTAATTATTGATTATTAAATTTTCAGTTATTTATTATTTATTAGAATATTACAAAAATTAATTAATAAAACCGAATAAAGCTCATTAGGCCCAATAAAACCAAATAAAGTCTAAGAAAATGGATTAAGGTCCAACAAAAACGAATAAAGTCCAAGAAAATGGATTAAGGCCCAATAAAACTGAATAAAACCCATTAAGGTCCATTAAACCGAATAAAGTTCAATAAAACTGAATAAAGCTTGTTACGGCCCGATAAACTCAATAAATCCCAATAAATGGAATAAGGCCCAACATAACCGAATAAAACCCAATTAAATGGGTTAAGGTCAAATAAAATCGAATAAAGCCCATTAAGCCTATTAAAACCGAATAAAGTCCAAGAAAATGAATTAATTAAGGAATAAATCTTATAATAGGAACATAAGTAAAATCCAACAATATTATGTTAAAACCACAAACGAATGTGTCCAATTATTGCAATTTTACAAATTTACCATTAAATCAATTACATTCGTCGATTAGAAATTTTAATAGACGATATTTGTTAACAAAGTTAGTACTATTTCATTTGGTTAACAAATGACGCGCACTTATAGAAAGTGTGATGATTTAATTAATAAGAAATAACTATAAACTCTACCGAATATAAAGACGGGTCCTTATATTCATTAAGTTAAATCATCACACATTCTATAAGTAGGTTTATTTTGTAACTATGACAAAGTAATTGTTTTTATCTCATAATACATTACTTTTGTAACATAACTTTATTATTATTAACTACAAGGGTGGTGCCTGATTGCTTTGAGTTTGGCTCAAAAGGTCAAAAGTACCATGAGGTCACATGTTCAAATCCAAGAAGAAATAAAAATCCCCTTCTGGCCACGAAGGTTCAAATGCGGTGACTTCGGGCTATCTGCAAAGCAGGTGGTCGCCCTGAAATTAGTCGGCTCGAATAGCGGGTTGAATATCCAGGTTAATCAGAAAAAAACTTTATTACTATTTATATTCCTAATCGTATTTTTTTCTAGCAAATCTTTAAAACTGTAAGACCCTATTTCAGACTATTTATACAAATTGCATAGATTAAATAGAAATGGATGATTCATTTTCATAGCTTCTTAATATCACTTTCCTTAACAAAGAGACCATGAAAGCCATACGGCACTCTGTGAGGTAGCTTCACGACGCAAACGATCTCAAGGGTCGGAGACTTGGCATCCATCACCAAGAACCTCGACTCATCTGTGTTCTCATTATGCACAAGAGAAACTATGTACCCATCATCCTCATCGGCATCAGGGTTATCAAGTTCCTTAGCCACAAAGAACGGTTCACCGCCAAAATAACCCGACCCAAACATCCGACAAGCCACTATGCATTCCTGATGATGAACTTCTGATAATGCCATATCCAGTTTGACGACCCCTGAAATCTTAGCCGTTTGATCTGCAATACCACAATATATATACCTGCATGTTGTGTGTCTCATTTTAATATCAAAACTTTTATCCAGTTTTTTATTGGTGTTTATTGAAATATTTTTGAAGGCTTATATTTTATTTGATTCTATATCTAAAAAAAATGTGCTTCTTAAAGTTTACACAAACGTTCAATTTTCTCAAGTACAATATATATTAGCAATAATTTTACTATGGAGGTTCAAATGTAGTGACTCCAGGCTATCTGCAAAGCAGGTGATCGTCCTGCATTTAATTGGCTCGCATAATGAATTGAATATACAGGTTAATAAAAAAAATATACCTTTATAAAGAACCATCCATCATATCTTTATGCAATATACATCATTGATGCTCATGCTTCTCTCTAAATTTTAATATTTAAATTTGAAATTAAGGCTTAAAAATAAAATTATACATAATGTTTTTCTTTTCTTAAACGATAAAAAGTATACTTGAAAAAAATGATTAATCAGTTTTATAACAACTATATGTGTTGTTTGTTTATCTCTTAATAGTTCCATCAACATCTAAATCGTTAAAACATGAATCTTGTTTGACAAACTTCTAATGGTTCTAAAACTCTTGATGATTTTGTATCATTAACCTCATTTAAGCATTCATCACCCTAATTTCATTCTGAATAATTATTAAATAATTATATTTTATTTTGCATTATATTATAAAAGTCTTTTAATCATTCTGATCTGTTAATCATTGTGCATCAAACCATTATATTTAATTTGGATATTTTGCTAATTAAATAAAAAATAACCTGTTTTTTATTGTGCCAAAAGCCGGGTTGATGACGCATAACTCTAGATTGCGAGCTGAAAGAGGGTGTCTTGTTACCATCCCCGTCTTTATATTGATCCTTAGCTTCTCTACCGATGGATGCATCAAATCCATCCTCTCCAACAGATGCTCAATCGATAATATGTTAGTCGCCACCATCACCACCGTATCTCCGCCGTCCTCCTCCCATGCATTGATGGTGTGCAGGATATTCCACCCTGACACCTGAAACCATTTCATCTTCGACTCGTCCTTAGCATCCCTGCGGATCACCCCAACCCTAGGCACTTCCCTGAGGTCTGCCTTGATCAGGGGTCCATTGCCAAATAGCTCCATCTTGAGCTGGTTCTCTGAAAAAATGGCGTAGTTTTTGGTGATGGCGAAGTCGTGGAGAAAACATGGGCTTCTCATTGAGAAGATCGGGACATCGGCATGTTTCTCTCCCTTTTCATTGAACCGGAAAAATGTCAGGAAAGGCGATATCGAACTGTAGCGAAAACCGAAAGCTTCTTTGGTTACTGGATCGATTTTCGGATGAGCCGTCATCCTCATGGAAAGCTTGCCATCGAAGTCATGGCGACCAAGGGTGATTATATCACCATCGGGTGCAAGCTTAATGGCATAAGGGAGATCTGATTCACCTAAAGCATACAGCTTATTGCCAAAAAATGCCAAGCTAGTGTTGGCCGAGCCAATACCTTTAGACGGATCAAAATGGCCCGCCAAAACCCGCAATGTTGCGACTGCCATCCGAGCAACAGAGGCGGTCAAACCATTGAAACCGGAAAGAACATTTGGGATCATGGGAAACCCTGCATCTTTCTCTATGTTATACTTGTTTGTCTTCACATATCGGCTACATAACGTGGCTTTTCCTTTAGAGATACGAATAGCATGGAGCATGCCATCGCCATTGAAAAGGTGGTAAGGACCTCGTGGTAGAAACTGCGGGTTAGGGCCATTGCGAAAGTAAACCCCATCAAGGCAACTCGGAAGCATACCCTCACTGACTTCACAGTCGGTAGGAGGGAGTTCGTCAACCGGATAAAAGTTATCCAACAAGACATGCCGTGGGTTAACCGAATCCCGAATTGGTGGATCTATGAACTTGTTTATGATATCATCAAATGCATTGAAGATCATGGAAAGTAGCAACCGATCGATCTTCACTGATTTTCTAACGCGTTTCTTATTGTTCGAGGTGATTGTTGGCCATTTCGACCGATCTTGACTAGACCTCTTGGTGGTGCTTGTGACGGTTTGCGGCTTTTCTTCGTTTCGGACGGACACAATACGAAACGGAGAAGGTGGTGGCGATAACGACAGTGGTAGTGGTGGTCGGGTTGAGCCAGTTGAAAGGAAAGATGATGAAAGAGGGTCCATATTGTGTCGTGAAATGGCTGAACCAGACTCACTTATATAACCAAATAATTCATATTTCAAGATCAGATCGTAGCTGAAGGCCTGTTCCACGTTTTTTGTATGATCTCAAATAAAGCTGTCTAATTTCTCCACCATATATAAATTTGGATATTTTTAAAATCAACCCACTACATACTTTTAAAAAAAAAGTTAAATCTAACAGGACAACATGGTGGATCCAACGTCAGGTCTTCTCCAATGGTGGTGCTTTTGGACAGGCTCTTGATGTACTTGGTTGGTATTATTTCAGGGGAGCGTAAACGCAGTCAGGTGTAAACGATACGAGACAACTCGTGAGCTATTCGAAATCGACTTGGTCAAAGCTCGGTCAATACTCGACTTGAATAGGCTCGGCTCGAACTCGAGCTCGACTCGACATATTAACTAGTCGAGTCAAGCTACCCAATACTCGACTCGAAAAACTCGTAAGACACTCGATTATTTTTATATATAATTAGTTTTAAAATATAATCCGCTTTTATGATAAAATTTGCGAAAATTTTAATAATAAAAATGTCTTATATTTTTAGATATTTGAACAAAATTATGCATTTTTTAATTATAAAAACTAATCAATAATTTTTGTATTAAAATCACAACTAAAAAAGACAAAAAAAAAACTACAAAAGTGTTGGTGAAGTTATACCACATTGGAAAAGAGATAGTAAAGGAAGGAAGAAAAGATGTTATAAAACAAGAGGAGGTGAACGAAATTTCTAACTTTGTTTTTTTATTTTAAAATGATTAAGTTTCAAGTGGATCTCTTTAGTTTTATAAAAACTAAGTAAAGACCTTTAAGTCTTAAAATGTTATAAGGGAATACCCTAAAATTTCATAAATTTCAATGGGTGAGCTTGGTTTCGAGCTTCAAATGAGTTCGAGCTCGAGTTCGAGTCGAGTTTAGTTTTAAATTACTCGTGAGTTTTCGAATCGAGTTCGAGGTTGAGAAATGACTATCGAGTTCGAGTCGAGTATATCAATACTAGAGCTCGACTCGCATCATTTACACCCTTAACGGCAATCCTAACACTGGTGTTGATTAGATTTGGTAAAAAAAAAATTATTAATTTGGATATCCAACTAGCTATTCGAGTCGACTAATCTCAAGGCGACCACATGTTTTGCAGATAGTCCGGAGTCATCGCATTTGAACCTCCGTGACCACAAAGGAATTTTTATTCCTTCTTAATTGAATCCAATATTTTTTTATAACCATTAAATCAATTAATTATATATTTATATTTTATTAATTTTGTTTTATTTTATATATTTATATTAGAAAAATATATATTATTTTGTTATTTTATTATTTTATATTTTTGGTTTTATATATTACAGTTATTACATTATTATTATATTAATTTATTATATATTATTTATAAATTACTTTATATATAT